CAAGCGGAAGACCCAATACTATTATGGACTACTGGACTCTTTTAGAATATTTTGCTGAGTTAACACACCTATAATATTCAAATAATGGAACTAAACAAGAAAAGGAGATACAGATGAATGTCCATTTTGTATCTGTGTATTCAAAATGGTTAGGATAGATATATAATTGTATTCTCTTAATGAATAGAGGGATTTGTTCTAAGTGTTTGTAAATAGGATATCATGTCCGCATCTTGTACGGCAATTAACCACTGGGAGGAATGTATGCAATGTGTTAATTATTGAAACTTCCCTACCAATTTTGTTTGAAACTATCTCATTGCTATTTGTTTCTCAATAAAATTAAGGGAAAAATAAATAAATAAATAAATAAATAAAAGAATGTTAAAAAAAAATGCTTCCTTCAGATACTGAGGTCTTTGGAAAATGTCAATCATCAAGCAGAGCCCACATTTAAAATGTTAGGGCCAGCCATGGTGGACACGCCTATAACCTCTGCTCTCTGGAGGCTGAGGAGGAGGACTGCTGTGAACTTGAAGCCAGCTTGGGCTACAAAGTGAGTGCAAGACCAGCCTGAACTGCACAGAGACCCTGTCTCAAAAAGAGGCGGAAAACAAAAATGCTGCTGTGCCTCCATTCCTTTAGGGTAAAGCAGATGCAGAATTTTTTGGAATTCTTCTGCATGGGAGATTTTTTTTTTCTTATTCCCCACTCATTTGTTTTTAAGAATATATATCTTTATTTCTCAATAAAATATAAAATAAAATAAAAATAAAAATCTTTATTATTTTGTGGTTTTTTAAAAAAGAAATCTTTTTTATTTATCTGTTACAAGGTCTCACTATGCAGCTCAGATTCATAGTGATCCTAAAAGGATTAAAAATTCTGAAATGAAAACTTTTTGGGTCGGGGAGATAGCTCAGTAGAATAAACGCTTGCCCAGAAAGTGCAAGGGCCTGAGTTCAAGCCCTGGTTCTGCCAAAAAAAAGAAAGAAAGAAAGAAAGAAAGAAAGAAAGAAAGAAAGAAAGAAAGAAAGAAAAGAAATTAAACCTTTTTTATGTATATGATTCCAATTTTGTCATGAAAAGTGGAAGTAAAAGACTGGACTACCTGACATCACTAGTGCCCTCTCCCACCTCCTCCAAGTAACAGAACCCACAAAGATGTTATAAAATGAAGTTTATTCTGCAATACTTTATCATAATGAATTGTATCTCTTTGGTAAAAATAAACTTTATAAACATTTTAATAATCAGAGATTAGATACAAAAACTAAACATTCGTAAGTTGTTTTTAATATGAGCAAAGACTGGCGACTGAGAAGTGGCTCACTGTGACTGTCGTCTATGGCAGTTACAACCCAGACCAGGACAGGCTCTACATTACACTGAAAAGAAACAGGTCAACAAGTTTCTTCAGTCAGAAAGCATTCTTATACTTTCATTTAAAAATAAATAAGTTATAATGAATTGGCAATTATACATTTTTATACACTATATGATGGGAACATAATACTTGAAAATTAAGCAGTTTAATAAAATGTACAATTTTAAAACCAAGTTTTAACAATGGCACTGGCAGTTAGATGTAAAGGAAAAAATGGCAGGTATAATATTAAAATACTCTATTATTTTTGCCTTTCAATAAATATCTTGACTACATCATTAACATTGAAGTAAACCTTAAATCAAAGCTTACACATTTAAAACTAATAAAAACTATAAAGTATATGTAAACCAGAAAGTCTCAAAAGTTTCTTAAATACTACAGTCCCCCCAACAAAAGGGTGTCAAGTTACTAGAGCAGTTAAGACAGCTTTTCATAGCTTTGTACAATACTCACATCTGGTACTACTCTGTTGCTTAAACTTTTGGGAAGGGCCTCCTGGTGAGCCGACTGACACACCCCCTCCTCAACACTCTCTCTAGCTTTGAGTAATGCTAATGTACATTTAATTATCTAGTATGAACCTTTTACATAATGCCTCAGAAAGTAGCAAAAGAGATACATTTATACACCAAACTTTACAATCTCTAGGCACTCTAAGTTAAGAGAAGTCGCACTGGCGGTCAGGACAGGAAAAGCTCAAAGGTAGAAAAAGGGAGGCGATCCACCAATAGTTAGCTTTTCCATGAATATGGATGTTTTTGTTCTCTGAATCTGAAAAGTAATATATTAGCTAATTTGGTAATATATTGCACAAATAAATTCCAAAAATACACATATTCAAGAAACACTGATTCTACCTAGGATGGGAAAGATTAAGGTTAATTGTGCCAAGACCAAATTTTTACTAGAAATCTATTATAAATTGGTATTGGTTGCAACAAAATTTGTATAATTTTTGATGTAAGGCAAGTTACATTAGTTTAAGTCACAATTTTAAAATAAGTTAAAAAATATGTAATCCCTCTAACCTAAGTTGTTCTCATGACAGCAAAATTTATTAGTGACTGGGCATATGATTCCCAGTCAGCAAGCCTTAGGCTGGCCCCCTGGGGGCGGGGGGAGCCACGTGTGCACCCCAATGCAACTGAAGAATCAGGTCAGCATCTCAATGAAGTCCTAAGAGTACTGTAATTAAAATCTGATTCTTCCTCTTGAAAATAACCACCATAGTATACTAACAAATGAAAAGTGATGTACTGAACCCTGTACAAAACTCGGGTAAAATACTGTGTAACTTCTCTCAGCTTTTAGTGCACAACAGTTGAACTGCCTCACAAGTGACAAATGTAGCTTATGCATTTCAATTTGTGGGAAAAGCACCTGAAGAGGGAGGAACAAAGCAAAGAACTTACTGCAGGTGTTTTTATGTATACTGAGCCACAACCCTGTTTGAGCCGAGAGCGAGTCCTCCTCTGCTGTCTTAGACCATGGCCCTGACGCGTAAGTGGCACCCAGGGCAGACAGGAGGAGCTCTGGTGCCCAAGGCTGCAGGGCGAGCACAGGGGAAGCAGGGCGCCACTGCTCTGCGTGGGGGGGCGGGGGACACAGCAACTTACTTTCAAATATTGTTATTAAATTATTTGTAATTTATTTACTATTCACGGTGTGGCAAATAAATTTTATCTTTTATTGATTATAGTAAAAGTCTGAATTAGTCATTTTCTGCAGAAAGGACATTTATAATGAAAATTTTCTTATACCTCACCCTACATTATCAACAATTAAAAACTATTATATTTCAACAGCACCAATTTTATTAACATGGCCATCCAGATTGAACTAAAATTAACATAAAAAGAATAGAAAACCTCAATGTTGTTATCCTTGGCTTAAAGTCTTATTGAAGGAAATAAGATGCTTTTGTAATTATTTTTGACAGTTTTGCCTAGAGCTAAAATAAGCCATCTCTTTAAAAATTCATGAAAATGTTTTGTCATAAAAACAGCTGAAAGCAGGAAATTAATACGAGCCTGGCACTGTACGTGTACAGATATAAATCGTGAGAAAGATGAAGAGACGCTCACTGTGTATGTGTGACACAGGATGCACCAGCAGACAAGATGCTTCTGGAGAGCTGCTCCACTCCGGCAAAGGACCTACGCGTGCGCGCGGACAGTGCACTTCAGCATCAGTGTCCCTTGCTGTTTTCTGAATACCACAGTGGGACTACGTAAATTATATGAAAAACTATCTCACACAAGCAGACTTTGTTCAAATACTTAAAATATCTTAGTGCACTTCTGGAATACTATAAAATCTTTCGGCATGGATTAATGGCACACAGGAGCATTACACTGCCTCCTTGAGGAGTACTGTATAAGGGCTAATTTTGTATGAGTTTTAAATCCCTGAAGGTATTTTTTTCTCTACAGTTTCATTACATCTTTTAAAAGTTAATTCAGCTATTATAACTCATACAAAAATTGGAAGGAAATTTTTTCCTAAATCACCTATCTTAGCTAATGATAACATAAGTAGTAATTACTGAAAATGTTTTATTACACTCCATTCCTACTATAAGACTCTCCGAATGCAGTGTATTTAGAAAGCAACTTAAAGGTCTTCTTATTGCAAAACTATGCCAACATGGATATGACTCCATTACCCACTCTATGGCTATATCCTCTTGTTGGATAATTCCTATTCAACAAAGACAGTGAGTGGCTAAAATTTAACTAAAGGTTGCAAAGCACTTTGGGAAGCAGTAAAAGGGGCCCAATGAATGCTATGCAGTATCTGTTAAATAAAAGTATTTCATAGAGACTTCTATATCATAATAGCAATTAGAGTACTGAGATGAAATCATACTCCAAAACTACTTTTTCTAAATCTTAGAACTTTTTGTTGTATTTTTTACTTACGTTAACCAAAAGGAACTTCCTAGACATCTAGGATGTCTTCCAATTTGTACTGGACATTGCTCATGCTGCAGCAAAAATAATTTAAAATAAAAAAGACAAAAAAATCCATGGAATCCTACTAGACTGTCAGGAGAGGAATATATGGGAAAGATTATCAGTAAATTTTTTACCTGGATCAGCAAGTACAGTTAATTACAGAATAGAAAGGAAAACAAAAAAAGAGAGTTACCAAATCTTTCATTTTGATGTATTAACAGAATAAGAGATTTTTCCTTTAAGAGAGACTGGGGATTTTCTTATGTTAAACATTTCCAAATGTTGGAGACACCGTAAAAGCTATGCTTTTAGGCTTTTATATCACATATTTATGATTGGGCATGATCCTAACAGCAATTGTTCAATAAAAAAAATATTTTAAAAAAGTTACCAAAATGTTTTAAGAGAGTCAAGTACTTGGCACCCTTCCCCCACCCGAAAAACTGAGAAAGTCCATTATGGCTTTGGTCTCCCTTGGGAGGGATAAGCAGAAGAGCACTGCCACACCCTAAATAACTTCACACTAACCAGTACTCCTATTTTTTCCACTGCTTCTGACTTTGCATTACTGCAGTACCTATGAGGGAGCTGAGGCACGTACGGATTCCAGCAAGGTGCAGCAGAGACCCAGCTGCCTCTCTGAGCTCCTCATCAATCTCCTGACAGGACTGTTTCCGCATCTTTTTGCCCAGCTGCCCTTCGCGGGCGAGGTCTGCACAGGCCTGTGCCACATAGCCACTGTCTCCAAGAGGGTCCTCGTCATAGTCACCGTCCGTGTCTTCTTCACTGCGAAAGCCTTCACTGCCGTCACTGCCTGTGTGGCTACTCTTCGGGATGAACTCGTACACCTCATCGACAGAGGACAGGGAGGACACGCGCAACCTGGAGGCGCACCGCGGCACCCCTGAGCCACTGGCACTGTAGTTGTGATCTTCCTTCGGGTCAGTGCTGGTGGCTAGGGAGCTGCTCTCCTGCAAGCATCCAGCACTGGGATGACTGAAGGCGAGGCCGTAGCTCCGCTTTGTCTGTGGGGATGTTTTCAGAGGAAGAGGCTTCTCACCTGTGGAAAATGAGACCACTGAACTGCTGCTCCCACTCCTGAGCACGAGGTGCTCTAGGTCAGTAATGTTTCACGGGATTTTTCCTTTCATTACTCTGAAATATTTTAAAAATATCCTCTGATCTTCCCATTGAACATATACGCATTCTGAAGTATTTGCACACAATGCCGCAATCTGAATATAGCAGACTAGCTATAGTTGGTATAGTTGGACTAGCTATTAGTTGGTATTTAGGTTGTTGTCAACTTTTTACTAGTGTACACAACTCTACAATGAAAATTCTCCACATGTCTTTCCTTACCCTTATACAAATAGTTTTCTAGGAGAATCCAAGGAATATATATAATTTTCAATTATTACTTGTATTCCCAAATTGCTCTCTACACCAGTTAATATGCAACAGTAAGTGAAAAACCCATTCCCACACTATCATTATTTTTTTTTTAATTTATTCAACATACTGGAGAATGAATCTAGGGGCTTTGTACTGAGGTACATATGCAGTCCTTTTTATTTTATCATTTGTTGTTTTAAATTTTGACATAGGATCTTGTTAGGTGATTAAACTGGCAAGACTGAGATCCAACTTGGGATTCTCCTGCCTCAGCCTCCGGAGTGCTAGGATAATAGGTGTTTGCTGCCATGCACAGCTTAGCCCTCATTTTTTTATAATCTTTAAGACCAAAAAAAAAAAAAAAAAAGCCATTATAATACTGTTTCATTTTGTGTTTCTTCAATTGCTGCAATAGTTCATCCTTTTCCATGTGCACTAGTCACATTCATTTCTTTTTTTTTAGGAACCAGGGATTGAACTCAGGCCCTTGCACTTGCCAGGAAAGCGCTTATTCTACTGAGCCGTCTCCTGGGCCCCTCATTTCCTCTATTTACTCATCTATCTTGCTGACTTCTCTGTGGGACTGTTTTTAATTTCTTACTTGTAGGGTCCTTGAGAAACTCTGTTCACCTTCTGTCTGCAATGCACGGGCACAAGTATTGCATTTCTGTCCCTGTCTTCCTTCATCTCACTGGTGCCGGGACCCAGGGATCCACCCAGGCACACGCTGGCCAGCGCTCTACCACGGAGCTTTCCCCACAGCCTCCCTAGCTTACTTTTCCTAAAGGTATTTTTTGTTTTATGAACTGAAAATTTACCCATCTGTTTCCTATGGAGATTTTTTTTGTTTTATATCTTTTTATAATAGGAATCAAACTCAGGCCCTTGTACTTGCCAGTCAGGCGCTTGTGCCACTAAGCTATATCCCAGGCCCTGTGTTTTACATCTTAAAGAAGCTTTTCTAGTGCTAAGTCATAAATATGCTTTTCTATATATATATTTTTGCTTTTCTATATTTTCTTATACACATTTTTCAGTTTTATTTTTAGTTCTTTTAAGATCATATTTTAAATAGGCTGTTATCCATTTCTTGGTCAATGTAAAAGTATTTCTCACAGCACTAATCTTTCAAAAGGAAAGATAATACAAACCGTAACTCAGATTAAATCAATTTAACTGAAAAGTAATTTGCCATGATACTTAAAACATTTTGCATTCTAAATTAAATTTTATAAGGTACTCATTAATATTTTGAAAAGAAAAGCATGAATGCTTACATTCTAAAATCCCTTGTTCTATAGAAGTATTTAAAAGTATCATTGCAGTGGCAGCATCAATATCAGATTCTGAAAAGGGAAAAGAACAGCAACATTAATGTTTTTGAGAGGTTAATAAAAGTATATTTGCATGCACTCAAAGATAACCAGCACTAAGACTTTTACTGTACATTTTCCAAACATCACATTACATCATATACATTATTCTGCAATTTGCTTTTGTTCATTTAAATTATGGGGCAATTTAGCGAACAGTATTGTGTAGAACAATGGAGAGGCACTACAGAAAATATAAGTTCTCTTTACACTAAAAGATAAACATTTGAACTGCATTTCAAAGGTTTATCCTTAAAACTAAATTAGCTAGAAGTATACAGCATTACTATTTTTGAGCATCTTTACCTTACATAATATCTTACGCATATCTGCACATAGGAAATGCAACATTAAGCACATGCTGGTTATAGAAGATAAAGTCATACACAACTAACTCTCGGCACACTCATTCGTCTGAGCCTTGACAAAGGGGCCGTACACACAAAAAGGACTAACACGCTGAAGATGCAGTCCAGACCAGCTCACTCACCACGTACCAATTACCTCAAAGTGGATCAAAAATCTAAATATTATAATAGAAACAATAAGTTCACTGGATGATAAATCAGGCAAAACTCTTGAAGGTACAGACATTGGCAAAAACTTTCTGAACCCCAAAATGCATAAGAAATTACATCAAGAATCAACAAATGGCATCATATCAAATTTAAAAAGCTCCTGCATAGTAAGAGACCAAGAGTAAAAAGACAGCCTACAGAATGGGAAAATGTTCTTGCTAGCTATACTTCAGACATGATTAATATCTAAAATATATAAAGAACTAAACAAAAAAAGAATTAGACCTCCCCAACAAATCACTCAAAAAGGGCAACTGCAATGAATAGACACTTCTCTGAAGAAGCACAAAGGTCAATAAATACATGAAAAAGTGTTTAACATCTCAGGCCATTAAAGAATTGCAAAATACAACACTGAGATTCCATCTTACTCTGGAAATAAAAAAAAATCAGCAAAAACAAAAACAACCAACCAAAAAACAGCAAACACTAGTAAGGCTGCATGGAAAAAGGAATGCTGTTACATTGTTGATAGGAATGTAAACTGATACAACCACTATGAAATCAGTATGGAGTCCACTCCACCCCTGAAAATACAAATTCATCTGACTTAGCTACTCCCAGCCCCCAGGCATCTTCCCAAGAGTTAAGGACGCGCCTCAGTGCTAGGAGCACACCCACGGTTACCGCAGCACAGCTCGTAATGGCCGCATCCTGGAGGGGCCCTACGTGTTCATCAACAGACAAGGGAGAGAGTGTGCTTCCAGGCACCGGTGAGCACTGCCCTGCTGCCGGCTGCCAGGGCGCGCCTGTGTCCACGTCCTTTGTGGACGCACCTCAGGACGTGGTAAGTGAAGTCAGTCAGACACGTGAGCTTACACAGTGCACTTTCTCCTATCTGAGAAACCCAAAGTATACATAAAGAGGAAAATAAATGACAACAGGGAAAAGGGAGATAAGAGCTTTTGTAAATGTGAAGGGCACCAAGAGATGGAGGAATGGGAGAGGATGGAGGAAGAGGGTTTAAAAATGATTACGGGGACTGGGGAGATGGCTCAGTAGAATAAGCGCTTTCCTGGAAAGCACAAGGGCCTGAGTTCAATTCCTGGTTCCACACAATAAATAAATAAATAAATAAATAAATAAATAAATAAATAAATAAATAAAAAAAATAAAATAAAAATGATTACGATGTTTTATGTACATGAAACTCCCAGGGCTGGGGAGATAGCTCAGTAGAATAAGTGCTTGCCTGGCAAGCACAAGGTCTTGAATTCATTCCCTGGTACCACCAAAAAAACCCTCCCCATAATGAATAGAATCATTATGTACTATAAATATGTACTAATAAAAATCAAAATTGAAAGGTATGTGTAGCGGGGTGTGGCGCTGTCTATAACCCTAGCACTGGGATGCTGAGGTAGGAGGATCACGGTGAGCTCAAGAGCAGCCTGAGCAACATGGTGTGTGCAAAGCCTAAAGTACATATTGAAACCCTGTCTCAAAAAAAAAAAAAAAAAAAAGGTACACGTAACTGGTCAGTCCAGGTCATTTCAACCTATAAATGCTAAACAGTTTTAGATTTTTTTTTTGAGACAGGGTCTCACTACATAGTCCAGGTTGGCTGTGAACTCACGGTGGAACCCAGGCAGGCCTCAAACTTGTGGCAATCCTCCTGCTTTGGCCTCCTGAGTGCTGGGATTACAGGCGTGTACCACCCCCGGCAACTAAATGAATTATTGTGGAAACAAAATTACTAATACGTAATGTTTCCATTATAATTATTCACAAGGTTGTAAGCCCTAGAGATTTAAATGATGATGATGATAATATTATTTCATGAGGAAAAAAAAGGGCTTTAAATGGCAAGTAAAATCAGATTTTACTCCTGAAAAGCCACTATCTTCTCTTATCTACTTATGTAAATTTTTCTCCATGTTGGTGGTGTATTAGTCTGAGAATTAACTGAGGGGAAAAAAGAAAAAAATTATGAGTGCAAGGGTCAGCTGGAATACAGAGTGTTGAGGAACAGCCTGAATTACAGAACAAGATTTTTGTCTTGAGAGAACTGGTTGTGAGAAAATGTGTATAAATGTTAGCTTTTATATGAATAATGAACTGAATGGTAAGTAACACCCAGACATGAAGTCCTGTACTCAAAGCTCCACAGTTGAAGGTCTGCAATACCTCGAGCCACACACAGTGCCGCAGCTTTGTTCTCTTGAATGAACTGTGACCTTGAGAAACAAGTGCGTCTGCATTACCGCCCACTTCTCTAGGCATGAGCCATACCTTATTTTCCATCTTGCTCTACTGCCTGCAACAACAGCTGGATCGAAGAATTTTTTCATGGGGGGATAACATTAGGATGTAGATATATGGCAAAAAATAAGTTAGGGAAATTCCTAACTTCTCAGAACATAAAGAATTTAAACAGTATGGCAGTGATAGGCACGGAGAGAAAATAAAAGGGGGTGCAGAAAGAGAAGGGGGAGTGTTGGGGAGGTGGTTACATATTTATTTTTAAAATTTATTCATAAATTGTTATTATTTAATGTCTGCAGTACACAATCATTACATCCACTGTGGGAGGCTGACACAGGAACACATCTTAGTGCAGTTTGAAACAGAGAGGCCAGGAAGTCCTCGAGGGAAAGAGAAGAGCTGGGCCAACCCTCCTTGAGGGCAGAGCGGTGCAAGCATAACGGCCTGCACCGCTGATGCCCCACATGCCGTCGCTGAGGCCAGGGAAACAGGCTTCTCCATCTCCTCCTAGAACAAGACCCCAGACAGTTGACAGCAACCTGAATTTTAAACTGTCTATGAGAAAAATGAGTGCACCTGCTCGCCCCTCCTGCCTCTCTGCGTGACCTGGAGAAGGCAGCCAGCCCTGGAGGCAACGGCTCCCTTCAAGGCCTGTACTGCTACAAGAGTGCGGTATAGGCTGAGTTTCAGTGTCCATTCTGCCTTGGCCAAGAGTCCTTAGCATCAGGAAAAGGCTCTTGCAGAAGGACTCCTGTCCCATGCATGAACCAAAGAACTCAGTGTTACTGGGACCTGAACCCAAGGCCTTGGCACTGAGCTACCTCTCTGGGACTTTCACATTTTAGGACAAGGTCTCACAAAACTGCTAAATTGTCCTGTATGGGCTCAAACTTGTAATCCTCCTGTCGTGGCCTTCCAGAGTGGTGGGATTACAGGCCTGTGCCACCAAGCCCAGCAGCAACTTCAGTTTCATATTAGAGGATGAACACTGTTTACAATTTTGTGAATGAGAGAGGTGGTACTAAGGCAGAGCCTAACATAGAAAAATACTATTGGGGCCCGAGATGGCTCAGTAGAATAAGTGCTTCCCTGGCAAGCACAAGGGTCTGAGTTCAATCCCCGGTTCCCCGCCTGCCCCCCCAAAAAAGAAAAAAAATAAATTATCACTATTAAGTGAAACACCTATGACATTGTCTTATTAAAAATAAATTGAGGGCTGGCCAGATAGTTCAGCAGACTAAACCTCCTGCTTAGGCAGATGGAGGGACTGGCAGGGACTGGGTTCAATCCCTAGCGAGCCCTGCCGGCCTTACCCCTGGGACGTGATGAGCCAGCGACTAAGACTGGGCGTAGAGGCACACACCTGTAATCCCAGTGCTTGGGAGGCTGAAAACAGGAGAGTCACTACGAGTCTGATCTGTATAGTGAGACCCTGTAGGCCCTATACTAAATAAATTTTTTTAAAAAGAAAAAAAACAAAGTACATGTTAACCTAGTCAAGAGGCTTATCCTGAAAATGTCTTGGTAAAGCTATGTGAACACCATTGTTTTTTTTTTTTAATTCAATTTTATTTTATTTTGAAGAGTAAAGACAGAAGCAAAAACAAGGAAAAAAAGACAGCAGGGTAATACACAACAATACACGTTACAGATTTTCAAAACAGAAATAGCTAATTAACAATGGTTATATTATCTACTTTTATCATCAAATTTGTTGCTCAGATTAACAGATACAGTTATGCAAGATTGGACAAATAATTGAATATTAATGTTTGCTTTCAAGAAAATTTCTTTGAGATGGGGTTTTGCTATGCAGCTGAGGCCAGCCTTGAACCCACTATGGAGCCCAGGCTGGCTTTGAACTCACGGTGATCCTCCTGCCTCAGCCTCCTGAGTACTGGGGTTACAGGTGTGTACCACCACACCTGACTGCAAATTTTTGAATTTAAAAGTGATAAAATTAGATACTGTCTCTTTTTAAAAAAAACTTCATTGATTTTTTGCAGTACTGGGACTGAACTCTGGGCGTTCTCACTTGAGCACTTTTCCTATCATTACTTTTATAGAAATAACGCCTGACCAGGCGTGGTGCTCCACAGCTCCCATCCCAGCACTGGGGGGCTGAGGCAGAAGGGCATGAAGTAGGAGCCGGCCTTGTCAGGTAGAACAGCCCTGCCCCGCCCCAAGAGC